CGGTTCCGGTACCAGAGGAGCGCACTTAGGCGGCATCGGACATAGAGCCCGGCCAGAAGCACCAGGAGTGCCAGGACCAGGAGGGCTGCCAGCACCGCAGGCAGGTGCCCTGCCGCCTCTGCAAGGACAGGGAAGGGCATGGTGAGTGTGGCTGGTGGGCCCTGGCCCAGGTTTTCTGGGTTTGGTGTAGGTTTGCGCCACGATACACTGCCCTAAGAGAGGCAGCGCTGATCCCCATGGGGCTGCCATTCCTGCCCTATGCAAGTGGGTCCTCCCTGGAGGTGTCCCTTCTCTGTCCCTGGCATGTCCCTACCCACTCGCCGCAGGGTGAAGGTGGCCGTGGCGTTGCTGACCCAGCAGGCAAACACCCCAAAGTCGGCATCATGCGTGAGGTTGAGCTGCAGGATGCTGGCGAGGAGCCACTCTGAGGCATTTTGGGCAAACCTGGGGGAGATAAGGCCACCATGGGTACGACATGCAGCAACCCGCCCCGACAGACAGACAGACGGATGGACATACCCCAGGGCAGGCTCCTTACCAGGCGGTGTCCTGGCTGCTCTCGCTGCCCAGCCACTGCCCATCTTTGGTCCAGACGGGGACAGGCTCGCAGCGCTCGGCGGCCACCCAGCGCACGGTGCAGTTCAGTGCTACCTGGCTCCCCAGCGCCAGCTCCAGTGTCTCGTTGGTGGCCGGGACGAGGATTTCGGGGGGCACGCTGCAAAGGTCTGGGGACACAGCGGGAAGAGGGTTTCAGATAGGAAAGCTGATCCAGCTCCTGGCTGGGCCGGCAACTGTCGTAGCCATCCCGGCTTCCCTGGAAAAACAAGCTCTGCCGCGGGGGTCTGGCAGAGAGCGGTGCTTGATGCTGTTTTGCAACAGGCTGAGCCGGTTTTCGGTGCTGGGACAGACCCTTGCCCGCCCTACAAGGCAAAGCCGGAGCAGCAAGCCGGACCCCCTGCCATGCCTGCGAGCAAGGGGTCCTTCCCAGATAAAAACGGGTGAAAGTTTCGATTTTGCAGCCTCCCTGCCATGGTGTGCTCAGGCAATGTGCGGGGGAGCTGCCAGCACCACCAGCGGGCCACCCGTGACGGTAGGGCCCCTGTGGCACGGCGTCTTCCGGGGGGGCAAAGGCAACCTGCCACAGCCACAGGGCGGGCTGGGCCTGGAATAGATCCGAAACGGCTCCGTGAGTGCTGGCTGCTCCAGGACGGGCAGGCACACGGAGCGCCCCGGCGGTCCCCATCGCTCCCCACAGCGATTTGGGTCTGGGGGGCAGCGGGTGTCACTCTGGGGTAAAGCCAAAGCCGTGTCCCGGCCGCGGGTTGGTGGCCAGTGTGTCGCCTGCCCTCCCCACGCAGCACTGACTCGCAGCCTGGCTTTCCTGACCGTGAGTTTACAGGCGGGAGGTGATTAATGACCAACTCGGGGCTGCAAGATGTTAAAAATGTGGCTTCGTCTCAAACCAGAGGCCAGTGAGGGGAAACGAGCCATGGTCATAGCTCAACCACGGGGTGTGCAACTCTTCCCCATGAAACCACGGCGAGCTGCCCCCGCGGCTGCGTTTGGGGGGGGCTCTGCGGGACCGCCTTCATGCCACCAACACCTCGTCTTGGCTGCAGTGCTGCTTCCAGTCTGATGTGCCCATTGAAATTGCTAATTAAACAGCGGGGCGGTTTATTTATAGAAACACGGGCTTCCTATCTTTCCTATCTCGTGAGCTCTCATAGCGTGAAGCTAAGCAAAGTGGGTACAGCGCTCCCCTCGCATTAGGAGGCTCGGCACGTTGCTACCCTGTGGCTGTGCCCGGGGAGAGGCATAGCTGCATGACATGCCATGCAAGCGGGGAGCGCGAGGATGGTGCGGGGGGACTGGCCCCCGGCTGGCACCGTGCAATCGGTGGCAGTGCCGCTGCAAGAG